AGGAGGGGGACAATATTTCCGCTGATACACGGATCAGTTCGGACAATTATTTACAAGTTTTATCTGTGATGGGTACGTTTTCTGCCGCCTTTCAATTAATGATAATGCAATAGACTAAGAACGTGAGAGAAAAAAAAGGAGAGACAATAATACATAGCTATTTCAGTCCACCAATACAATACCCCAAAGCTCTGAAGGAGAGACCAAGTGCAAAGTATGTATGTGGAAAAAAGACAAGTTTGGAATTTTAAAAAAATACAAAACAAAACATAAATAGAAGTATGTTCGACTCTGATGTCAAATAATAAAAGTTTCATCAACTGTAAGAAATAAAAGTAAAATTACTCTCGTAGATTCCATATCACACAGGCTCATTATATACTAGTAGATCTAATTTGTTTTAATTATTTTATTGAAAAAGAAAAAAAAATAAAGATTTTGTTCTTAACACGAAAATAACCCACTGAATTATCCGCCTCCATGCAGGGTTTTTTGGGAAGAACAACAAAGAAGCTCTTCTTGTCGAACAGATGGTGAACCTCATCCAGGACTTCATACAAGTATCGGTTGTGATTGAAGAACAGCAGGACCAAAAGAAAAAGGTTGGTGCTTATCTCAAATCAATCACTCAATCGACTCTGTTGCCTTTTTTTTTCTACAGTAGATGTAGGCAACAAATTTCAAGCTTTGGAAAACATTACTAAATCGGAAGAACTATGGAGGAAAATGAAAGACTCAATAATGGAAGCTGTGGAAGAAAATAACCCTCCGAAAGCTAAAAAAGCTAATAAAAATGGATGCCCCAGGACATATTAAAACTAATGGAAGAGAGAAGAAAGGCAAAATCAAATGTGGAAAAGTACAACATCTTAAACAGGGAAATAAAGAAAAAATGTAGCGAAGCAAAAGAAACACAGATAAATGATCAGTGTCAACAAATAGAGAAGAACCAAAACAAAGACAGCAAATACCTGCATTCCAAAATCAAAGAGGTAAGTGGGACAAAAGGATGCTCAAATACAGGATGCATAAGATCAAAAGGAGGAGATATTTTAATGGACAACATGGATGTCTTAAACAGATGGTGAGAATACATAGAAGAACTTTTCAAAGATAATAGAGGATAAAAGCCGGTAAAAAAGAATGAAATAAATGGACCACCAATACTGAAATCTGAAGTACAAGCTGCCATTAGGAAAATGAAACAAGGAAAAGCCACAGGGCCAGATAATATTCCAGTTAAAGTAATAGTTGCGCTTGAAGAACTAGGCACTGAAATAACAACAAGGCTCCTAAATGCTATTTATGACAAAGGTGAGATCCCAGAAGATATTATGATGAAGTCAGTTTTTATAACTTTACATAAAACACCAGGTGCCACTGAGTGTGATATACATAGAACAATTAGCCTTATGAGTCATTTTACAAAAATATTGTTGCGAGTAATAATGGGAAGATGGAGAAGAAGTGTAAGACCAGAGATATCTAAAACGCAGTTTGGTTTTGTTCTTGACAAGGGCACCAGAAATGCTATATTCACCTTAACGATGTTAATGGAAATTCGTATTGAAGCTTAGAAAGATCTGTATTTATGCTTCATAGATTATTCAAAGGCGTTCGATAGAGTTGAACATGATGAGCTATTTAAAATACTTAAAAAGATAGACATAGATGGAAAAGATCTAAGAAGTATCAGGAATTTGTACTGGGACCAAAACGCTGCTGTACGAATTAACGGAGAATACTGTGAATATAAGCAGATTAGGCAAGGAGTGAGGCAAGGATGTGTTCTGTCACCAGACCTCTTTAACATGTACAGTGAAACAATCCTTAGAAACATAGAAGAATGACCAGGTTTCAAAGTAAATGGAGAAAAATTATTAACAGCAGGTATGCAGATGACACAGTTTTGATAGCAGGCTCAGAAAATGACCTTCAATTGCTTCAAGACACTGTTGTAGCAGAAAGTGAACGTGAAGGATTAGTGTTAAATGTAAAGAAAACAGAATACATGGTAATATCCAAAAAAAGCAGCAAAGCCTTGTTGTAATCTCATTAATAAAGGTGAAAAGATCAAACAAGTTCAACAGTTTAAATATCTAGGATATATGATAACATTTAATGCCACAAGGTCCACAGAAATAAGACGGAGAATTACAATGGCTAAGGCTAGTTTCAATAAAATAAGCCCAATCCTGAAAAATAGAAACATCTCAATGAACACCAAAATGAAAGTTCTAAAATGTTATGTTGGGTCAACCCTTCTGTATGACTTTGAATGCTGGACAATCATTAAAGACAGTGAAAATAAAATAGAAGCAACATAAATGTGGTTTCTTAGGGGACTGCTAAGAGTATCGTGGAAGGAAAAGAAATCAAATGTGGTAGTGCTTGATGAAGCACACGTGGGACGCTCAATGTTAAAAACAATCGGGAAACGACAAATGCAGTTTTTGGGACACATAAATAGACAGAAGGGTCTTGGACATCAAGCTCTCACTGGCAAAATTGAGGGCAAGCGAGTCAGGGGAAAGCCCAGAACAACATACTTTGGGAACCTAAACAAATGGGTAACTGGGAAAGATCAGGGAAACGTGGCTTTTTAGAGCATCCGAGCAAAAGAAGAATGGAGAACGGTGATCGCCGATGTCTGTCGCAGATCTGGCACTGGATGATGATGACGATGAGTAAGCGTTTTACGACACTTGCAACACAATTAGGTCATATTAGTGACGAAGATTAAAGATGTTACAAACAAGACACAAAGAAAAGAAGGAGAGATAAGGATGATAGATTAGATTCTTGCTCGGAAAGAAGGAGCAGACCACACCAGAGCATGCGCGAACTACCCTCAATTTTTCGTATCTGAGTTATTGAGACTACCATACAAAGACGCAGTGGCGGTGGGTAGTGAAGGGCTCACGGGCTTGAGCCCCTACCCCCTCCCCACCCACCACCCCCAACTCTATCCCAAAGTAAATGAAAGTTTCTCCTTAATGAAATAAGTTGTTGAAACCGTTATGACCGCTCGCAATGAACACAGAGTGATCAACTCGGCGCCTTGCTCGCTTATCCAATCAATGTTGTCCCCGCTTACAACTATAGTAACCCAGCAGCCAATCAAATGTCTTTAGGGCTCAGCAAAGGTGAGCCCTTTACCCACAGCCCGTCCTTAACGAAACTCTTCTTATAAAAAGGTAGAAGACTGGGAAAAAATAACACTGTACCGAGGGCTCACGCTCTCCTAGCCCTGACAATGGGGTGAAAGTTTACGACACACTTTCCCCCCCCACTGACACAGATATCTATGTGCTCATTGGTTCTTTGTTGGGTGCGTTCAACTTTCTCGACTACACGGCCTAATCCAGCTCATAGAAGTATTATGTTTGAAGTGTTGTGTGTGCATGTTTGTGTTCGTGCCGCTGAGATTTAAAAGTTATAAATCAGGTCGAACTATTTGTAAGGCAACTTTTTCATCACACGAAAACTAATTGGAGGAAATTTGGTGGTGAATCGGCTTCGTCCCCACCATCAACAAGAATTTAACTAAGAACAAAGAGATGGAAAACAAAGGCAACTCTTCGTTCTCAAACTGCCGTGGCTCACCGTAACTATAGAAAAATCATCACTGTTTTGTTCTTATTGCTTGCTATTTGGTGGTAAAGAACTGGAAGCAACCTAAGCCCCACCAAAATTTTGGTCCACCCACCGCCACTGCAAAGACGATGGCCTGACATGGCTTTCTCCTGACTTTCTCTTGCCCGAAAGGTTCCATGACTGCCCTAACTCAATCCTGCTCTTGCTCCATCGTAGTCGGTAGTTACTCCACATTCTGTTCTAATCCATACCCCTATTTCTTCCTTCCCCAACTCTGTTCTTTTGTTTTAAAAAAAGGTCATATTTTCCTCACCCCTTCTCTCTC